AGAAAAAAACCTCTGTGAAACTGAATGTAAAATACTGGAAAGTCTGATTGAAAAGGCATCCTTGTCAATGGTCAGGCAGTTACTAGTTCTGCCTTGTATAGCTGATTTTTTTCATTCTAAAATGTATATTCAAATCAGGCTAAGACCATCTCTTAAACTGTTATACAGTTTATGCTATCTCTAGTGCCCAATACAAGTGCTGCACATGTAGCAAGTCACAAAATATACATGAAATGAATGAAAACTAACCTCCTTTTCTCTTCTTTTGACATTAACAAAGAGTAATCAACAATTTAAAAAATACAACATTCTAAGGAGAAAATGTGAAAATACATTTTGTGCTATTATTTCATTTGGGTTTGTTTCTCAAGACATAAAATTTTGCAGATGTTGTCAAATTCTAGTTAGAGTTCAGCTTCTAGTAATTTCTACTAATTGAAAAGTGAAGTGTTATCTTTATTCTCAGAAAACACCTATCATCAGTAAGATATATGCTTGAAAAAAAAAAAGGAGAGACAAATATCCAAAACACAAGACTTTGGTAGTCTATCCTCTCATCTGGTATTCCTTGAAACTAATTTATTACAACATATATCTGAGTTCATATGATATGGTGTGCTAAGTACCTAGAAGCATTAACATAATAGTGTGTACATATATATATATATATATGTGCAACATAGTCTTATACTTAACATAGGGAGAAATCTTGTCTATGATTCTGAAAGTTCTTTATACAAAGTTAACTACCCAGAACAAGATAACTCATATAATAATACCATTAATTATCTGTATGAATGTCATCGTTCCCTTTGTCTACTTTGTGTGTTAAAACCTGATAGATGTGATGCCTTCTTAATGATCTGATCCTGTAGTCTCATTACTATCACATTTAAAATCACTTAATGGTCAGCATTGAATAATACACATATTAAAAATATATTGTACAATTATACAATTTATATTAGTCCATGTATGATGGGCTTACAGCATCTGATAAACCATCTGTGCAGATACGGTAAAATTCACAATGTAACTTCAGTCACGCACTGCTTAACTAAAGGATATGTTCTGAGAAACACATCATTAGGTGATTTCAGTTGTGTGAACATCATGGTTACATAAACCTAGATGGTACAGCCTACCATCTACCACACCTACTGCACACCTAGGCTGTATGAAATAACCAATTTTTCCTAGGCTACAAACCTGTACAGCATGTTACTGTACTGAATACTGTAGGCAATTATAACACAATGGAATTATTTGTGTATCTAAACATAGAAAAGGTAGCAAAAATACAGGTCTTGGCCGGGCGCAGTGGCTCATGCCTGTAATCCTAACACTTTGGGAGGCAGAGGTGGGAGGATCATGAGGTCAGGAGTTGGAGACCAACCTGACCAACATGGTGAAAACCTGCCTCTACTTAAAAAAAAAAAAAAAAAAAAAAAAAAATTAGCCGGGCGTGGTGGCACATGCCTGTAATCCCACCTACTCAGGAGGTTGAGGCAGGAGAATCGCCTGAACCAGGGAGGTGGAGGTTGCAGTGAACCGAGATTGAGCCACTGCACTCCAGCCTAGGTGACAGAGCAAGATTATGTTAAAAAAAATGCAGGTAATATAATCTTATGGGACCCCTTTGTATACGTAGTCCAGAGGCAACTGAAACTTTGCTATGTGGTGCATGGCTGTATTTTAAATTAGAAAACATGGGATCACTATAGGTGGTAATAGTTTTGAGCATAGGAAAGAGAATAGGCTAATGAAATCATACACACACACACACACACACACACACACACAAAGGAGAAAATGTTCTTACGTTTGGGAAAAATCTCATTTTACAGAATTTAAGGAAGTAAGTACAAAGCCATAGTTCCTCTCCTGTGGAAAGCTTCATTCTAAGCTTCCAAATTTCTAAACCACAAACTTTTTATAACTGAAATTAGATCACACAGATAACCTATGATAATAGTGGGAATTATAAAAAAGAACAATTAGGAAGAAAAACTATTTAAAATTAAGTTTATATATAAATGGCTTTGAAAAAGTAGTCAATTTCAGATTAACTGTACCGATACTGAGTAACTATAGTCACAATACAAAAATTATTTCTATAAACCTCTGAAATGTACTATAATTTTAGAAGCAGATTTTACACTTTGATTCTCTCAGATTAAAATGTTTTTGATTTCTCTGCACATGTATTGTCTTAATAATGGAAGAAATTTCAGGTCAAGATTGAGGGAGGTCACCTAATAATTAAAGACTTTTAGGTATAAAAAATTACCTCCACATTGAACCATTTTCCTTTATATCGACACACTTACTAAAAAACACCTTGACTTTTGAGATCATAGTTTGCTGTGAGATAGTAATGTTTTAAACACACCTAGAATCTCTTGGCATCCTTTTGTTTATATGGTCCTACTTTATGTACAGGTTTCAAAAAAATAGTCCCTAAACTTAGGGTGGAAAGCAAGGGTGTCCAATCTTTTGGCTTCCCTGAGCCACAGTGGAAGAATTGTTTTGGGCCCCACATAAAATACACTACCACTAGATAGGCAAGGACTGTATGACTACAACACCAAAAGCATTGGTAACAAAAGCCAAAATAGACAAATGGGATCTAATTAAACTCCAGAGCTTCTGTACAACAAAATAAACAATCATTAGAGTGAACTGGCAACCAACAGAAGGGGAAAACATTTTTGCAATCTACCCATCTGACAAAGGACTTATATCCAAAATCTACAAAGAACTAAGACAGATTTACAAGAAAAAAATAAACCCATTCAAAAGTAGGCAAAGGATATGAACAGACACTTCTCAAAAGAAGACATATATGAGGCCAGCAAACATATGAAAAAATGCTCATTATCACTGGTCAGTAGAGAAATGCAAATCAAAACTACGTTGAGATACCATCTCATGCCAGTTAGAATGGTGATCATTAAAAAATCTGGAGACAACAGATGCTGGAGAGGATGTGGGGAAACGGGAACACTTTTACACTGTTGGTGGGAGTGTAAATTAGTTCAACCATTGTGGAAGACAGTGTGGCAATTCCTCAAGGACCTAGAAATAGAAATTCCATTTGACCCAGCAATCCCATTACCGGGTATATATCCAAAGGATTATAAATCGTTCTAAGGACACACGCATACATATGTTCACTGCAGCACTGTTTACAATAGCAAAGACTTGGAACTAACCCAAATGCCCATCGATGATAGACTGAACAGGGAAAATGTGGCACATATACATCATGGAATACTATGCAGCCACAAAAAACGATTAGTTTGTGTCCTTTGTAGGGACATGGATGAATCTGGAAACCATCATTCTCAGCAAACTGATATAAGAACAGAAAATCAAACACCGCATGTTCTCACTCATAGGTGGGTGTTGAATAATGAGAACACATGGACACAGGGAGGGGAGCATCACACACTGGGGTCTGTGGGGGAACTAGGGGAGGGACAGTGGGCGGTGCGGAGTTGGGAAGGGATAACATGGGGAGAAATGCCAGATATAGGTGATGGGGAGGAAGGGAGCAAACCACATTGCCATGTATGTACCTATGCAACAATCCTGCATGTTCTTTCTATGTACCCGGAACCTAAAATGCAATTACATAAAATTGCAAAAAATATCTCATAATGTATTAAGTTTACAAATTCATGTAGGACTGCATTCAAAGACATTCTGGGCGGTATGTGGCTGTGGGTTGGGCAAACTTGGTCTTAAGTAAATGGATTCTAACTTTTATGTATAAGATAAATTCTTAGAAAATGTTTTAGATGACTTCAAAATAGAAAAAAAGGTTTAAGGTCTTTAGACTATTTTGAAAAGTTTTCATTATTAAATAATGCAGCAAGTACCATTTTAACTCTTTCACAAAAATAATGGAACAAATCTTTCATGAACCTAAACTTTAAAACTCCAGCTTTTTTTATATATAAAGTATTTAAGTACACTTTCATTGTAGCTAGGAAATAAACTTGGCTTCTGATGTTCTATATTTAAAAACTGTCAGTTATATAGTACTAGTACTAAACAACTAGGAAGTCAATTTCTTTATAAACTTCTGTGTTATCATTTGACAAGATTTGCGATCATGAATTTTTTAGGCACCATCTTGGCTCACTTCAACCTCCACCTCCAGGGTTCAGGCGATTCCCTTGTCTCAGCCTCTTGAGTGGCTGGGATTACAGGCATACACCACCATGCCTGGATAATTTTTGTATTTTCAGTAGAGATGGGGTTTTGCCATGCTGGCCAGGCTGGTCTTTTGATCTCAACTGAACCGCCTGCCTTGGCCTCCCAAAGTGGTGGGATTACAGGTGTGATTGACCATGCCCAGCCATATCATTGAGTCTTAACTTTAACATGCAAATAAAGAAACTAAGGTTCACAGATTTAAAAATCATTTATCTGAGGCAGTAATGAGATTAGGGCCCAACTTGCCTGACATTTTAGTGCTGTTATCTTGCCTTAAAATCCATTTGCTTGCAAATAACAAAAGCAGCATTATAGTATTTGAAAATACACAACTTAACAATAAAACAGGTGTCATTAGCAAATTGTGTTTATTTAAAATGTATTATCACCCTAATTTTTCATGGGATCTTAGTCCCAAAAACCCTCAGCCCAAAGTTTTTTGGTGAATTTGTTTACACTTACATTAGTATGTACTACTTTATCACCATGGATCTCAACAATGTTCTTAACCAGTACTTGATTCAACTGTAGGTGATATTTAATTCGGTTGATGATATATCAATTCAGAAGTTACTCTTTTTTTTTAACATCACCTACAGTCTCTTTTTGGAAGCTTAGTATTTGTGTTATTAAATTCATAGTAGTGCTGTCAGTACTCTAGATGGTTCTGTAATAAGTATTAAGAAAACATGCCTTATGTGATACTATAACAGATATTTAGTTAAAATACTCAAGCTAGAAATGTTAAATTTTTCATAGAAAAAAGAAGGCCCATATTTGGATTTTAATGTATGATAGTCTTTATTTACAACTTTATTGGCAAAAAAGAAAAGGGAAAACTTTTAAACAATTTAACACAGGGCATTGTAGCTGATCCTGTCAGATAAAAGAAGTTCCATTTTAAATGTCCATCTAATTGTCCAAAGATATACAATACTGAATCTGCATATGCAGTTTCCTTTATGAAGTACAGTGCTCACGTTTTAGGCAGTCTTCTAAACATACAAATACAAAGGAAATTAAATCACTCATTAAAAACTCTGTCAAACGAAAGGTATTTTAAATGTAAGTCTGTTGTGTCTGGTAATAGCACATGCCCAAATGAAAACCAAAAGATGGAAAAGCAGATACACTTTTTACTTGGGTGGACAGTTACAACAATCAATCATTTTCTGCAATGACCATTATATTTTCAATTTATCATGAACTAGTCTGAACTTACTATGAGATGAAGCCAAAGTCAGAAGAGAAGACGTAGGAACAATATTCCTTTTTTGTAGGAGGGTAAGTCCTCCAGAATCAGCATGGGAAATAAACATCCTGTTGACTCTAGGTGGAAAAAATTAATGTAGTCAATTTCAACTCATGCTGAGCTGACTCAATTTTTTCATCGACTTGGGTGGTGTCATTCTTCTAAATCAAGTGTATTTAATTCTTCTTCTAGTTCATCCAAATCCTCTCCAGTGAAAAGATTCTCATCAACAGGAACAGCATCAATAGCTCCATTTTCTGGTCCCTCTCTTTCGTTGTCCTCTTCTAAGTCACTTCTTTCACCATTTTCAGCCCTACCTCCAGAAGCTTCACTTAATTTGTTTTCTAAAAATAAAAATTTGAACCAGTAAGGTGTAGAAGCAGAAAACACCATCCTACATTAGAAATAGACAACACAGACTGATATTACACTTCCTCTTTTCCTTTTCTCCATGAAAGCCTTCCCTAGAATTACTGCAGCAAGAACTGATCATTCTTTTCTGAGCTTATTTTTACCAATTATCTATACTTACTATAAAATACTGTTTTTCACTGTAGACATTTGACTGCTTAATTGTTTCTTCTACAACTCTGTGTTCCCTACATGACCGAGCAATTAGATTTTAATTAGTCAATTTCCATACAGTATTTTATCTAAATGGTTATGGAAACCAAAAAATGTTTGTAATATAAGCAGCTACTTGGCTTTTGGTTTTGAAAATAGTATTTAGGGCCGGGCGCGGTGGCTCAAGCCTGTAATCCCAGCACTTTGGGAGGCCGAGGCGGGCGGATCACAAGGTCAAAAGATCGAGACCATCCTGGTCAACATGGTGAAACCCCATCTCTACTAAAAATACAAAAAATTAGCTGGGCATGGTGGGGCGTGCCTGTAATCCCAGCTACTTGGGAGGCTGAGGCAGGAGAATTGCCTGAACCCAGGATGCGGAGGCTGCAGTGAGCTGAGATCGTGCCATTGCACTCCAGCACTCCAGCCTGGGTAACGAGCGAAACTGTCTCAAAAAAAAAAAAAAAAAGAAAATAGTATTTAAATCATGGTGGTGTATTGTGACAGCAGAAATCTTCATCATAAAATCAAATGGTTTAAAAAAAACCCAAAACCTAGTCAGTCGTATACAGCTACTTTTCCTTATAGATTAAAATGACTGAGAAAACAAAAATGCTGCCTTTTTTATTCCATGCCATTAACATTTACACAAAGACATTTTTAAACGGCCTAATTTAGATTTCAGCTATTTCAAACATCTCTGATGACAAAGTCTTGGGAATTTTATAATCTCTAAAGTATTTGCAGTTGTGCCTATTGTCAACAAAGCCCACTTCTATAAAAAGCAAGTCAATCTAAATACTAGGCAAGACAATGCTTTGATAACACTTTCAGATCTTGGGAGGGCAAGCTGGTTTTTCAAGTTATAGCTTGTGTGCTTTCATTGTAAAAGTAAGGTTCAGCCTTTTCTGTCTCAGCATTTCCCTTAACTGGCATTTCTTCTGCCTTTTTCTCCCATAGCAAGGATGCCAAACTTTCACCCCTTTCTTTAAGCACCTAACTCAAGGCATAATTAGACATAAATTATACCAACAATCCTAGTCAGCCTTCCCTCCATTCTCACACCTAACTCATACTTTCATGTCTTGCTTCCATAACTAATTTCCTTTTATCTTCAACTTTTCCTCCTTACCAGATCCCCTTTCTCTCACCTACAGATACATACTTACCAGATCCTCTTCCTCTGACCTACAGATACATTTAGGTTTTCCATATCCTAAAAAGCCCTTCCCATGACCATGTCTTCCCTCTAAACATTAAGAGAGAGGGCTGTATTCATTTTTCTTCTGTTATTGCAGTCTTAATGAAACTGACACCCTATTCCTATAACCAATTACAATTAGTAACTTATTTATATTCTTTTTCACCCTACTTGCTTCTTTGGAAACTTGTTTCTTAATTTTTCTCTGACCTTCTCAATGTCTTTTCTAAGCATTCCTTCCTTTACCTACCTTAAAACACTGATATTTTGTGCAGGGTGTTGATATCTATACAATATCCTAGACAGTGTCACTTTGGATAATGAAAAAAATCTCAAACTCATGAGGTCCCAAAGTAAACTCACTGGCTTTAACTCCAAGTTCATTTTTGTCTCCTTCTAGTTTGTTAATGATTTTAATATTCACCCAGCTGCTCAGGTCTTCAGCCTTCACTCTTTATTATTGCTTTTATATATGGTCAAACCACACATTTATGTTACCAGTCTGGTACCTGCACACATCTAAGTTTGCCAAGCCTGGTATAACCCCATTTAGACAGCTTCCTAGTTCTTAAAATAAGGCAAAAGTTAGCATACTTACCATCTTTATCGGAAGTGTACGTGCTGAATCTTTCAAGACTGGCTACAGTAATACCTGTTTCATCTACATCTCTTGGGATGTACTGGCTTAAATCTATGTCATTTATGCTTACTGAATCATCAACCTTTAACAACATAAAGAAAAAGTGTTACAAATAAGAACAGTTTTATTTTACTCTTGACATTTATGTTAATGAGCCAAAATCATCACTGATCCAAGTGAAAACAAAAGACCAATTACTGGCCAGGAGTGGAGGCTCACACCTGTAACCCCAGCACTTTGGGAGACCGAGAAAGGGGTCACCTGAGCTCAGGAGTTCGAGACCAGTCTGTGCAACAAAGCCAGACTTCGTCTCTATAAAAAACAAAATATCTATTGTTAAATTTTTTTTCTAAACTTCTTAAAAAAAAAAAAAATAGCAAAGTGGTATGTGAAACTTCTTCCTCTGCCATTACATTTTTATATAGAATGATTTTTTCTTTCGAGAGACCAGAATTTTATAACTACACAAAAAATGAATTTTATCTGTTATTACTTAATCTGTCAACAAGCAGATGACTGTGCTATTCTCATGCTCCCTAGTTTGTATTTTTAAATTAGTGCACTTGTCCCATAACTTTTTTTAAGCATAAAATATTAAACAAAAAGAACTCTTTTTCTTTTAAAGGGTGGATAAAACATACTTTTCACAGGTAATACATATAGCACTCAACAACATACTAGGCACTGTCCTAAGTTCTATAAAGAACTACTAATTCATGAACTCATTTAATTCTTGTAAACTCCCTATGATGTAGAGATTATCATTACATCCATATTACAGATGAGGATGGAGGCCTAGAGTTAAGTAATTTCCCATAGTTGACATAAGGATGTGAACCCAGGCACTGTGGCTCTAATGTTGATGGCTCTTAACCATGTTGTAGTATTCTCTATTGTTTCTTTCAATTAACATAAGGAGATAAGACATAAAGCTTCCTCTTACCTCATCACCACCTGTTCCCTGGGTGTAGTGGGTATCATCTGCTTCCTCATCATCATCATTGACCAGTTCAGGACGAAATTCAAACACTTCACGACCACTGATCTATTCAGAAACACAAATATATAAACTCAGGACAAAAATCTAAACATTCCTTGTTACTGATGAAATAAGGACAAAATCTTACTTGACACAGAAATTAAAAATGGAAGAAGAAAGAATCAGTTTGGGTGAGTCTGAGACATACCACTAGTGCTTTCCCTGCTTTGAAGTCAGCTTTCCTTCTTTCCATGTCTTGTTCAAGTTTATCAATCTTTTCTTGTCTTTTCCTTTTCTTCCATGCAAGAAAAGATTCTAGAGTGATTTTGGTAACATTTGGACCTAGGGCAGAACGCTGAAAAAATAAAGAGTTAATTTTTTTTCCACAGAAATCACCTCAAATAATGCTTCATAGCAGTTTCCTCTTAAAATGATTAATTCCTTACCTATGACTATCCTGAAAATATTAAATTTGAATAATTTTTTTTTTACTTTGCATGGCAATGAGCAAAATGAATATCCAGAGATACAAACACTAAGAATATATTCTTCTGACCTAGATTTCTTCTCAATATTGAGGGTGAATAAAACTTGTCATAAGAAATTGTTTTAACATGAATCAACTGCTGAAAATAATAAATGCATTATAAAAAGCACCATAACAATATCCAAGTTTCATTTGTGTTCCCGAGGAAATGAAAAACAAAACTAAATGAAAAAACCCCACCTGCTCTTTAGGGCCATAATCAAATAATAAATATACGGAACAGCTCAACACCTGCCAGGTATTAAACACTTCATACATGCTAATGCACTGATCCCCACAAATAAGTGAACAAAGGGTAATGGGAAAATTGACCAAAGATGAATAGTTAACATGTCACAGAACCAGTATACAAACTATTTTAAATATACCTGACTCTGAAGTCTACATTTTCTAATATACTATGTTATATCCTGAGTGAGACTAAACAATATGTCTATTTAAGGCAAAATGGATATAGTTTGTAATATGCAACCCTAAATCTAATATTTTGAATAATCTCAAAATTTGCAGAGACTAAAACTGTTCTGCACTGAGCCAAAGATGAGTAGCTGAATATTTGCTTCAGACTCATTCCCTTCTATAAGCAGACTTGAGTGTTTGAGTCCAGAGCTGATGATAAAACATATAATTAAAAAACTAGAGTGTCTTCTTTCATACATATGCTAATAACTACTAGTGAAAATCAAAAAAATATCAGGGTTAGAATTCTAAAACTACAAAAATTCAAACTGAGAACTAAGCATTTTTACTAACTTGATCTTACAGAAACAATTTGTTAAGCCAATAGCTAGTACTTAAAAAACTCACAATCCTAAAATTAATGTCATGATTGGCTAATGCAAGGTTTACATTTTAGACATACAAGAATAATTAAAGTAGGGCAACTTTGAGAATAGATCATAGTATTTTTTTTCGTTTCATAACAGGCTATTGCCCCCAAGTGGTAAGTATTAGAATTTCACAATAAATACTGCTTTGTTTTTATGGTAGGAAAAGGATACCTCTCTTTCAATTAGATCTTCTAATGAAATTTCATCTTCTTTCTCTTCTTTCTTTTTATCTTTTTTCAACACAAATCCAGGAGGAAGAGCATGACGATACATGCAAATATCACCCCCGCCAGGGCATACCCAAAACCAGCCATACTTGTTGTTTTCAATAGCTTCAAGGAAATGCTTGCACACCTATAGAGACAGTATTATTCACAAGCGGTGGCTCAGTGTAGGCCATTTCCAAGGTAAACGCTTAAGTATATGGAACAAGTACATTTTCTTCACAAGTGTGCTCTATTACACAAGTACATTCTATTCATTTCTGCACGTAAGGGTGCTCTGTCTATCCTCTATGTAGAAATGCAACAGAAGTTATCTTAAAATACTTAAAAGAATGGCAAATTCCCTTAAAAGGGAATCTATACAAAGTTTTCACTTGTTCTAAACTCTGAATCATACAAAAATGACTTATTTCCGTTACCCTTTATAAATATACTCCCCAAATCAGAACATACAATTGGCTATAAAAAAATAAAATAAATGATTTTCTTTGGTTTGATCTTTCCTAAATAAAATTAATCACATGCACTATACAGGAGCAAGGTACAAAAGGAACAAAAAAGAGAGTGACCCTTCACAACATGGATGGAAGGCATAATTGTATTTAAGCCTCAAGTAATAAGCTTTGCAAATAAGAGAAATTAACAAACAATATCCACCTCCTGCCAACAAATATAACAGATGTGTATGAAACTAGTATTCAAAATTTTTCTAGCACAGCAAGAATTTTCAGTGTAACTGAACTATAAATAAATATATGGACATAAATGCAGAGTCTCAGAAACAAGGAACCAATTTTTAAAGGTAAATTTTCTGGAATACTAGAGCCACTACCTACCAAAAATTCATTCTGGAATTCATATGTCATAATATTTTAAACCTTATAATTAAAAAAAAATTTCTCCCTATTAAAACTAAGTAAATTATTAAGTATGCTTGTTTAACAGGCCACCCTCTACTCTATTAAAAAAAAAAAAAGAGATTTTTATTTGAATATATAATTGAGAAAGTTTGAGAAAGTTCACTTCAGAAAATGGCATTTAAAGGACTTCAGTATCATAGTTTTACTCTTGTTCAGCTATTCCTGAACAAGAATGTAATTTTATAAAATCTAATTTGTAAATTCCAAAAATAAAGCTCAATGTACCTTGTCTTGATGAAATCAAATTTTCTAGTAACTTAGAGAATAATCTAATAGAAAATAGCACCAAATACCTTGCTACATAATTCTCCCTAATGATAAATATCACAGCAACTCAATTCAAGAAAAGGACATACTATTTGAGTTTTTGGTTTTTTCTTTTCCGCCTCACCGTGCTTCTTGTTCACTACTTCTTCCAGCTTTTTCTCATCCCAATTATCCATCGTATCTAAATAAAGAAATGAAGATTAAATACTGTAATTTTATCTACTGCTCCCATAATAAACATCTCCTTAGACATGAATGCTGTTTTATAAGACTCATGGCTTAACACATTTTTCTTTTTCTTTTCCTTTTATTCAAACAGGGTCTCACTCTGCTGCTCAGGCTGGAGTATGATGGCATGATCAAGACTAACTGCAGCCTTGACCACCCTCAATTACTGTTGATTGACTGAGCTTAATCAATTCTCCTGCCTCAGCCTCCCAAGCAGCTGGGACTACAGGTATGTGCCACCATGCCTGGCTAATTTTTCTATTTTGTTGTTGTTGTTGTTGTAGATATGGGGTCTCACTATGCTGCCTATGCTGGTCTTGAACTCTTGGGCTCAAGTGATTCTTCCTGCCTTGTCCTCCTGAAGTGCTGGGATTATAGGCATTAGTCACTTCTCCAGGCCTCATGTTTGTCTTAAAACACCAAAGGCAGAAATAAATAGTTTTAAGATTATTTACCAAAGCTTCCTAAATACTTTGGACAAATGAGAAGGTAGTACTGAAGGAAAGGGTGACAGACAAATCCAAAATAAATCACTGTTTTTTAAAGCATCTTCAGTTACTTAAAGGGCACATTGTGGTAATGTTAATATTTTATAAAGAATAATAAACCCAATTATTATTCATAATACAGTCTATTAATATTGAAAGGTTCTTCCAATTAATAAACATCTTATCAGAAACCAAAAGTATTATACATTTATTTTTAAGAGGATGTTTTTAAAAACATTACCTTTTTCAAGTTCTTCATCTCTTGCATCAATGTAAACACTTCGCTTTTCACATTTTCTCTCCAGAGTCAAGTCATGAGAGAACTTACACTTATCTCCTTTAGTACACTGTCCTTGCTTGAAGAATGCACATACCACAGACTTGGGATCTGCACCTGTGTCAAACGGCATATGGTATTTGTATTACAATCTGCCAGATTGTAAAGTATAGATTCTACCTGAAATAGGATTAATTTTGGTTAACTTGTTATTTTCCATTCACTGATGTGAGAGGAAAACGGCACTTGTGGGTGACTGGTAAGGCATTTCTTTAAAGTTCTTTCTCTAGCATTTTATGTCTAGTTTTCCTCTTTTATTCTTACTAAAAAAGGTGACAGAGGGTGGAAAACCAAACAAGAACATAGGATATTTCACAGGCTTTGTCTGGTTGGTGTCAATAAGGCAAGAAGCAAAAAAGAAACAAACATACATGGCAGAATAGTGACAGAAACTTGGAACATACAGTTTATTCAACTATGGCTTTGCCTTGCCTACTACCAAAGATAGAATGTTACAATTCAATGAGCAGTCTGTTAAATTACTAATTTTGCCTTAAATGTGGGGTGCATGGCTGCAATTTAGCTGTACAATGACACCGATGTGAACATATAGCGAGAAACCATAAGCAAGCCACTGACATACGTAATTTTGATGAAGGGAGTACTATTTTCATTGCAGACACACCTGGCTTATTATCTTAAGAAAATAAACATCAAAATTAAATAGAGTTTTTAGCATAAGCTATATCTGATAAAAATAACACTTCTGAAATTTAAAGTTTACCTTTACTTATTTTTTGAGCAGCAACTACAGGTTTGAACAGTTCATTTAGCTCCTGCAATTCTTTCTTCTTGTCATCCTTCTTCAATTTCTTTTCAGCTTCACTCTGTGCTACCTATAATATTCCCAGGTTTAAAATGTAAATTTGATTGTTTACAAAATTGTTTTTACTACACAGTAAGCATTAACATAACAAAGATACTTGCATATTTATAGTCTTTACCTTTTAATATCAGTGTTACAACGGCCTTACAGTGTCTATTAAATGTTGTAGTTAAACTATTAAACAAAATTGTAATGATGGTACCATGCCTAGTTAAAAGCAAAAGCTTACAGCAACAAGCATTTATTAAGCATTTACTACATGCCCAGCATTTTCAGCAAATAGTTTTCACCTGCAATATTCTTCTGTGAAAACAACCCACTCCCCAAAAATGTACAGGTTTATTTTGAAGATCAGAGAAGCACACATCCTGAAATGTACCGTCCCACATGATAATGAATTAGACCACCCCAAATACCTATATAGTGCCCTTGTGGAAAAACACTGGGTTAGGTCAATGTAGGAGATTAAACAAAACAATTCAAAATAAAACATGGCATATAACATAATCCAGGCACACGATTTACATACCTAATATGATTAGAGGATTCATCCAAACATTATATGTCAGGTCCTATGTTAGATGACAGGGAATACAATGAAAAGACAAAGATGCTTATTTAAAGAAGCTCAGACTCTAACAGGAAGACAGACATGTCAACAACTATAATATAATATATAGTGCTCTGGGAACAAAGAATGCCCAGATACCTAAGAAAATTAAATCGAGCCAATAACCTTATGGATGCGTTTTTCTTGATGGGCAGGTAAAGAAATACACAAAGAGCAAGCCAATGTAAAGTTACAGGGATTAGAGGTACAAAGTATGAGAAACATCAATGAGATGCTTAGATTGTATCAGTAGATTGAACAGAGTTCCACTCAACTGTTCAAAGTAAGCCAGTAACAAGATCAGGTCACATTTTGTAAAAGATCAAGAGGACAAGATTTGTGGAGGATGGATTTGGAATCCAAGAATAAAGGAAAGTGGCTGTTTTAACTGCTGTACAAAATGAAACCCAAGAGCTTAAAATGAGCATTAGTGATGAGAATGGAGAAAAGGAGACACAGAGAGCTATCTTTAGGAGACAAAGCTGATAGGACTACGAAAATGAAGTATAAAGGGGGAGGAATCTAGGATTATCATGTATATGGTTAGTGCTGTTAAACAAGACAGGGAATACAGGAGGAACAGGTTTCAGGGTAAGAGGTGAAGATGAGCTTAGTTTTAGACATACACAGTAAAAGATGCACCCAGAGCATCTCGGTGGAGCTCTGTTGAAGGCAGTTGGACATGGATATTGATTCCACTGAAATTAGAGAGGGTATGCTTAGAGATAAAGACTTTACAAATAGCAGCTTACAGATAACAATTAAAATACTGGCTATGTATTACTCAAGGACAGCACAAAAAAGTGGCAAGAGCAAAGGACACTTCCTTGAAGAAAATCCATATAAAATGGGACAAAAGAACCTAAAAAGCCCAATAAAAAGAATTAGAAACATCAAAGAAGCAGGTAGAAAACCAGGACAAAATGTGTTCAAGAAACAGGAAATTTTAGAAAAGAAACGGCCAGATGCCATAATTAGGTCAAAGACATACCAAATCCTGGACATGACCCTATATGTAAATGTGTTTAAACAGAAAAAATGTTTTGAAAGAAAAAATTGAAGTCATTTTATTTTTAATAGAAGCATCCTTTGCTTATCAGGCCCATCCCAAACATTTGTGGGGCCTAGAGCAAGAATACAATGGAAGCCTACAAGCCATTTATCTTAATATTTAAAATTAGAAATCAAGCTCAGGAATAAAATATGGCCTGTTATCTATCCCACTTGACAAATATACCTTTTGCTGGAAGGACAGGTTCAAATTTTAAATGCTCAGACTCTATGGAGTTCTACATTGAAGCATGGCAGTAATATAAGAGTCAGTCCCTGGCTCTTCTTTCTCCTCTTCCCTCCTCATTTCATTCCACTTTGGGTGTAGGGGGAGGCAAAAGGGCAGGAAGAAAGGAAATGGTATGGATAGGGGACAGGCCTTTGTAGGCAGATAAAAGAGGGTCAGACTACTGTAGGAAGAGATGTTGCAAAATCTGGGTGGGCACATCGCCTTGGCTTGACTCCTTACCTGAGGGAAAGAGTGGTCTGGAGAAGACACATATATCACAGGACCTAGAGAAGGATACCTCCTGTCCAGCTCTAAAAGCAACAATACTGCTCATTTCCAATGTTATATATGATGGTTAGGTACCCCATGTTCACAGAGAAATGTCCAGTTATTCAAGCAAGTATCAAAAATATAACATTAAATATAATATCAAATCTAACTGCCAGCACACAAATTTCGTAACTTTCCCAGGTTTATGAAGTCTGAAATAATCACTCAAAACACTTCCCACTAGAAGAAAAAGTTGGGGAAGAGGAAACAGGATTAGAAAATGGGCTAAATAAACAAAGTCAAGTCTTCTTACATATTGGTATCTATATTCATCAGAAGATTTACATTATTTTATTATTTAACTACCAGAATAACACAACAAGGAATAAGTGCACTTCCACAATACAGATAAAGACCAGGGCTGCTATTTAAGGATCATGTAACAAAAAAGATAGGAAGATTCACACCCAACTCTATCTGACTGCAAGGTCTAAACATTAATTTTTACTAAACTAAACTAGGCTACTAAGTTAGCAGTTTGGAAGAGCAAGTTTTAGATTCTAGAATCAAGCTGGGGAAATGGTTGTGAAAGGGAGGTGTTGAATCACTGATTTGCAGACAGCATGAGCAAGAGAAATTTATCTCACAGATATTCATTGGCAAATTACAAAAAAAAATCTGTAAACACATGAGAAATTCTTTCTTTTCTCCTACATCACAAAAATGTGTTTCCAGAAGTTAATGAAAAGCAGATAGAAATGGTGGGGAGAAGGTACTTTAAAAAATAAAGATCCATGTCTATGAAATCTTTAGAAGTGAGAGGTCCAAAGAACCTGAAGAAAAAGCTGTTACATTTTTTTTTTTCCAAATGAGTTGCCAATGGATAAACTCATTTAAAAATTCATATGAAAGAATAAATGCCTAAGAATAACCAGGAAAAAAAAAAAAAGCATACCATTTTGGGGAAAAAACTTGCCTTATTTGAGACTTTAATATACAGTCAAGCACACCATTGTGACATTAAGGTCAATGACGGACCACATATGACAGTAATCCCATAATATTATAATATCATATTTTTACTCTACCTTTTCTATGTTCAGATACACGAATCATTACTAATGTGTTACAGATGCGTACAGTATTCAGTACAGTAACATGCCTTGGAGCAACCAGCTATACTGTATAGGCTAAGTATATAGTAGGCTGTAATCTCTAGATTTGTGTAAGTACTCTATGATACTTGCAAAATGACTAAATTGCCTAACAACACATCTCTCAGATTGTAGCCACATCATTAAACAATGTATGACTATGATTGTCAGTCAATAGTGGTATTTCAGTTGGATAAACAATGCTGCTGGAAGCAGCTATTCATTTACAAGAAAACAAACTTAGTCCGGACATGGTGACTCATGCCTGTAATCCCAGCACTTTGGGAGGCCAAGGTGGTGGACTGCGAGGTCAGCCTGGGTGACATGGCCAAACCCCGTCTCTATAAAAATACAAAAATTAGCTGGATGTGGTGTCATGCATCTGTAGTTCTAGCTACTTAGGAGGATGAGGTGGGCGGATGGCTTGAACCCAGGAGGTGGAGGCTGCAGTGAGTAAAGATTGCACCACTGTACTCCAGCCTGGGCAACAGAGAACTTTAAGATATATAAAATTAATTTATATGACAAATTATAGACTATAAAAATAAAGTAATTAGAAATGATCTAGGAAAAACATGTAGAATTCAGTGGCAGGTGAGACCTTTTAACCATATTTTTAAAAAGCAAGCAATGTATCTGGCAATATCAAACTATATGTATACGTATAAGTGAAAAATTGGTATGTGGCAAAATGTAACTGAAATATCACCAATTATCTGCAATGCAGACAAAAGGTATCTTATAAATTGACAAGAAGACAACAAATAAAGTGAATAATTTCAATAGGCAAGTCAGAAGTGCAAACCCAAACAGCTAACAAGTATACAAAAGATACTCTCTAGTAGTGAGGGAAACAATGTAACAATAAGGTATCACTTTATACTTATCAGATTGGAAAACACTAAAAAGAATTTTAGTACCTATTACTCATATACTGCAAATGAATATGTGAAGTACCACAGCCTCCATGGAAAGCAATCAGGCAAATTTGTAAGATTAAAATTAGAAATCCATTTCTTTTGATCTGGAGTCTGTTACCAGATAATTTATGTCACATAAATAAAAGCACAAACACATGTAAGAACACCTGTATTTCTTTTAGAGGTGGTCTTAGTGTCAGAAAGCTGGAAACAAAGTGATCACTTATGAATAGTGATATGGAGGACTATGATACACCTATACTGAAGTATGGCATGCAGTCATTATTAGAATAAATGAGAGCTCTATCAAAATGGCTTGGAGGAATATCCAAGAGGTACTGATGGTAATGAAGGCCACGATGCAAAAAGGTTTTGAGTAGGATTCTGTTTTGAAATACAATTATATAATAATATCAGTCATTTTAATCTGAAACAGAGGCTGTATTAATACTACATTCATAAAAAGCTATGCAAACTTAAATTATTTACCTGACGTGGATTTTGTTGACCAAATTTAACCTGATGTGTAACAGCCTTGATAAACTTCTGTTGCTTTGCTCCTTTCTTATTCTTCAAACCAAAAGTTTTGTCCTAAATGAGAGAGCACAGAAATACCTTAGCAATTTAGGTTAACATATATTTCATCCAATGATATCTAAAAATCATTCTTTTATTTATTGATACATATCCTTCTTTACTAATATAAAAACATGTAAAATACTAAAACGTCAACTCAAGGTAATATATAAATTTAAATCATCACCCAGATTTTTTACAATTCAATATATACTTAACATTATCATTATTAATTATTCTATGAAACTTTCTCTATAGCATGTTTTGGATATCAGTACTATGGGATATGCAGAGTTCATATACTGGGATAAGAAATCCTATAGTTAAATAAATTTAGAAAAATGCTTGATTAAAAGGATTCTTAATTCTCAAGCACAAGGTATCTTACAGCCCTTATCAGAGGGGATATAGTATGTAGCACTTCCAAATCTTCCTTTATAGCATAATCCATTTTTACTCAGAGTATTGTGAGGCGTTATACAATACTGAACATATTTTTGGGACTACTACATAAGAGGAGGAAGATACTGGTTTTTTGTTTAATAAATGTTATATTCTCAAAAAAAAATTTAAGAAAGGAAGCAAACTACTGAAATGTATATATTCATAGCTATTGCTAAAATAGAAATATTGAAGGTATGCAACATTTTTTAAATCTGGAATATTATTAAAATGAAACTAAACAACATTTTCTTTAAGTCTGGAATATTATTAATACAATAATTTGGGAATATTCAACATAACAGCAGCTATTACTTATGGAATGCTCATTATGTGCTAAGCACTAACGGTGATCCTTGGCTATCTACTCGTATTTAGTAAGTAAGCAGTAAGAGGTTGGGGGAGAAAAACATCTTAAAAAAAGAAAAATAGTAAGTATGCAGTACAAAAACATTTAGAGGTCATTGCACAAGTATGAGCAATTGTGTGTTGGGGAGGGGGCAGTGGTCTGTAGTGGGCTGGATTTCAGAATGTCCCACAAAATTCAAGTCCACCTGATCTTAAATTTGACTTTATTTGGACACAGGTCTTCACAGCTGTACTATAAGATGACATCATACTAGATTAAGATAGGCCCTAAATCCAATAACTGATGCCTTAATAAGGACCACACAGACATAAAGAGAAGGAAATATAAAGACAGAGGCAGAGAGACAGGAGTGACACTGCTAATGTAAGCCAAAGAATGACAAGGACTGCCAGATGCCACCAGAAACCAGGAAAATGCAAGGAACAATTCTTCCCTACAGTCTTCAGAGAAAGGGAGAATGGCCCTGCTGACAGTAATTTCAGACACTAGTCTCCAGATCTCTGACATAATAAATTTCTGTTGTTTTAAGTGATCCACTTTGTAGTCATGTTACAGCAGCCCTAAGAAACTCATAAAGTGGGCCTGACTAGTGAGCTTCTCCCTAAGGTGAATGAGTGTCCAGCCTGACAAGAAATGATCAAATGCTAATATCTGAAATATTTTTTCTGTATCTTTTCTGGTTCTCTGGAGAAAGATCCTCTTAGCTGGGAGGGCAGTAAGTCTAACTGTAGACAGGAGAAAAGACTAGGAAGGAGAAGAGAGTCTCAGTTTACTGCACAGACTTACTGGCTTCCATTTTCAGGCTTACACCCCACCTCCTCTGTGCTTAGTGTTCCTGAAGCAGAGGCCTATTTCCTGTCACTCCCCATCTCCAAGAAGAGACACTTCCTGTTTCTTGCAGAGGTAGTCACCTGGCTGAGTTGTAGTAGATAAGAATTATTAATTACTCCTAACACTTTCAACTTCTAGTTTACAGCCTCTTGCCTTCTGTATTACCTAGTGCTTCCCACGGTTGAGTTTTTTTCAGAATTTTGCAGAGGAAATTCCCTTGCTTCTCACTGGCACACTCCTAGGCAAGCACTCAGGCATAACCACTCTGCTTTAAGTAAGTTATCAACTCATCCATCCACTGCAGTCTTCATATGTTGAGGTTCAAGATTACAGATGTCTCCTAATTTCAAAATAGAATTTGTATTTCTTTTTCTTTCTCTTGTTTACGAGTGGTTTTAGAGAGGAAGAGGCAAAAAGGTCTTTTCAAAGTAATCTGAGACCCTCTGAGAGGCATTTAGCATGAAACAAATTAAGTGGCCATTTCTAAGCCTTTATTTTGCTATTATTTCTAAGGGAAAGGAAAAAGTAATAATGAGTAGAAAGTATGATACAAAATACCACCAAGTGGACAAGCTAGAAATGGAAAATAACTGTATTGAGACAATTAGTATTTAAAAACATCCAACATGACATAATGCTTACAACAACCTCAAAGATCTGTAAAAGATCTTTCAATAGTCTCAAAATGAAAAAGTGCAGAGGCTTTTGCTTCTAAATGGTTATTTCTTATTGGGAAATATCTGTTTATTCACGACATCTATATCCATATACCAAAACTTTGCTTTCTTTTACTTAAATGCCTGTATCATGATTTAACATCCCAACATGGTATTATACAAAATTCTACATGAATTTCCTACAGTCTATGTGTATGAAAAAAGGTAGGAAACACATACAAGCTGGATGTTTCTGCACTGAGCCTTTTATGGATGGCTTCCCTTGTTTCTACAGTGAAGAAAGTTTTTTTTTTTTTTTTTTTTTTTTTTTGAGACGGAGTTTCGCTCTTGTTACCCAGGCTGGAGTGCAATGGCGCAATCTCGGCTCACCGCAACCTCTGCCTCCTGGGTTCAGGCAATTCTCCTGCCTCAGCCTCCTGAGTAGCTGGGATTACAGGCACGCGCCACCATGCCCAGCTAATTTTTTTATTTTTAGTAGAGAAGGGGTTTCACCATGTTGACCAGGATGGTCTCGATCTCTCGACCTCGTGATCCACCCGCCTCGGCCTCCCAAAGTGCCAGCTTACAGGGATTACAGGCTTGAGACACCGCGCCTGGCCTGAGAAGAAAGTTTAACACTCAATTCAATTTTAAGATGGATGGTCAAGATAATGTGATACATACAGATGAACACAGTGCTGCAACTAGGTATAAAATGCCATACTTTTCCTTTACAAAAAGTGAGCTCTCAAAAGAGGGAGAGGAGACTCTAGATAAAAATATGATCAGGATTAAAGTACAACAGCATCTACAGGTGCTCTGCCAGAGGAGAATAACTGGTGTTCAACTCATGCTTCATATGTAACTATAAAGAAGAAATAATGAATAAATAAGGCCAAATAGCAAAGCAGATACTGCCAGATAAAGACTTAAGAAAGAAAAAGGTCCTCTAAGGGAACCTGGCCAGTAAGAAAATAAAGCACTGTTATAATCGCAGTTTCTGATAAAGGTGCATAAGCTCCAGATCCCAGAAGAAAAAAGGAAAAAAAAATCAGGTTTCACTACACTGCTCCGGCACATAATTAACCAGTTTAAAGAGATAATAAGTGAGTTGTGTTCACCTCTAAGTTAGAGCTGAGAAATTTTCATTTTTTCCACAGAGAAAGGGGACACTCATTTATCTAGCATTTACTAAACATAACCCCTGAATATATAATTTACTGAATGCTCTCAACAATTCTATGATATACAGAAACTCAGAAATGATCAATTCTTTTGAAGTGACATTGGTAATAAGGGGCTGGCTGTATAGTGCAAAGATTTAGAAGTATAAACTCTGGAGCCAGACTGGCCAAATTTTAATCCCAAACAGAGCTGGGTAAATTACCCTCTTTGCCAGTTTTTTATGCATAAAGTGAGTCTCACTTAGTGTTGCTGTAAAAGTTAAAAGATTTACCTCAGAGAGACAGTGGTGGACAGCAAGGATTCCAGGGGCAGACTTCCTGTGTTAGAATCCCTGGCATGGTTACTTGCCAGGTTAGTAAATTTGAGCAAATTATTTAATCTCTATGCCTGCTTTCGAAACTGTAAAAAGGGTAATAATAATACATATCCTACTGAGAGAATTAAAGGGGCTAGTATATTTATCACTTGTAGTTGGCTTGTCTCTCTTCTCTCCTTCTCCCCAAAACACTGAGAACCTTTTCTGGCCCAGTAAGTGTTATCTAGATGATATCTGAACCTAGGTATATTTGACTCCAAGCAAATTCCTTATTCTTTCTACTGTTTTTAATAAACTACTTCCCAGAGAAACCTCGATAAGTTACTGGGCTGGACGGTTCAAAAAGGCTTCTTCCCTTTTTCCTGAGTTTAGGACCAACACTTACCTAAAGGTTAACCTGAACTATAAGGTAGAAAAAAAGGAGGCAGTCAACCCGAAACCGAAACAACAGTTAAAATAAAACTAGGGGAATAGCGGTCCTCATTGGATTAATAAGGTCTCAAAAGTCATGTAATAGTAAAGGAACTGCGTGTTCATGTGTGTTTCGGAAGACAACTTGGGAAATGAACACAGAGGAGTCTAGAAAGTGGGTAGTAAGAAAAGGATGACTTCCTGAGGCTCCAAGGAGCCTTAACCTCAGTCAATTCCAGGTTTCACTTAAAACACCCCCTCTCATCCTTAAGTAATCCCATTCCTTTTACAGGCCAGTCTCCACTCCTTAAATAAGATGTCCATAAAAAGGGAAGCAGCGGAAGGGTGGGTCAACACTGAACAACGTTCCCAAATTATAATAGAGTCCACCTCTTGGAACATTAGAGTAAGCAGAGGTTGTCACTGTTTTACCTCATTAGTTTTCTCCCAAATGCACTAATGTATTTTTGTTGTCCATCCATGCGATATATATTATACAACTGGTTAATCCAGCTTCAAGTAATCAACATTTGATTTTGGCTGTTGGGAGCTGTTCTATACTGGCAACCAACTTCTCTTGCTCCATCCTTTACAACACCTGGATCCTGTCTCAAAAGGTCCCTATTACTATTTCCTTGCTGATACAAGTTAGCTGGATATCTTTTATTTGCTTGCTCTAAGCCCAAGATTATTTCCCTCTTTCCATAATCAAACTTATTTTTTCTTTTCTTTTTTTTTTTTTTTTGAGATGGAGTCTCACTCTATCACCAGGCAGGAATGTAGTGGCACAATTTCGGTTCACTGAAATCTCCACCTCCTGGGTTTGAGTGATTCTCCTGCCTCAACCTCCAGAATAGCTGGGATTACAGGCACTGGACCACCATATCCAGCTAATTTTTGGATTTTTATTAAAGATGGGGTTTCACTACGTTGGACAGGATGGTCTCCATCTCCTGACCTTGTGATCCACCTGTCCTGGCCTCCCAAAGTGCTGGGATTACAGGCGCCCAGCCCATAATCAGACTTTCTATTGCTCAATGCCACCTTCCATTTGTCACTGAATTTTTGTTATAAGAAAGCAAACAGTATATGCCATTTGGGACTAATGTCTTAATTTCTAACACATTAGTGTTTCATAATCCTGTTTCATATATTCGTTTTGCAAGTATTAATACAAATGAATTCATCAAGTTCTGGAGCATTTGAAGAGGTAAATTTTAAAAAATGGAGGCAATATAAAAAAATGGGCAGGAACTAAGCACTGTATAGACAGTACAGATTAGTCTGATTGTTTCCCCTAACATTTTTATTTATAATACACTATCAAAATAGGTAATAATAATAGCTACCATTTACTGAATATATACGTTACATGGCAGGCACTTCACATGTGTAGTCTCATTTAATTCATGGGAACTAGTTGCATTTTGCAGATGAAAATTGTGGTCCAGACAGATATTGCAACTTGTCTAAAACTATAGAGCTAGTAATCTGAAACACAGTATTCAAACCCAGGTCCCTGACTCCAAAGCTAGTGCTCCTTTCATTAAATTATCCTATCTGATGTCTCTTTAACTTCCTTAGAGTTCCCAAAATTTGCATGTTGTTTTTCCACAGTGAGGGTCCATAGAGGTGGCAGAAGCGGTAAAGAAGAGGAAAGAGGTGGGTGGGGCAACCATTATTTTAAAGTCTAATGAAAAGTGCTGCTTATAAACACATGTTTTAGTTAACTATTAATTTTGAGCAATTTAGAATTTCAGGTCATACAACCATAAAACGTACCCAAGTTAACCAGCTTCTGAAATAAGTATCAGCCTTCACATGTCAAAATAGAGTATAAAAAAGTAGTATTTTCCCCTCCAAAATTATAACAGCCACAGAGATCAATTATCTTCTTGGAATAGTTATTGAGACACGTCAGGCTTCTAGGAAAATTAAAAAAAAAAAGTTGCCTATAGTATTAAATAAAGCTGACTATATCATTTCCTAACCAGGCTGAATAACAGAACAGTCTCCATAAATCTAATTCCACAAATGCTGTAACTTAACACTACAATTCAAAATATTATTGTACCTCTCCATCAGTAACAAATATCAATGTTGCACCTGGGTCTGAAAAACTTTATTACAGTATTTCCTGAAAAAGCTCATCAGATCCCTGGACCTGAACATAAGAGAACATCCAGATTACAACATTTCAGGCTCAGAGAACCTTTCTAAAGGCAAGTACCAGACACATTTAGAAGGAAACTATGTTCACTGAGAAACAACTGGAAGAGCTGAACATCTTGTTCAATAAGAACCCATAGCCAAATCCCAGTCTTCAGAAACAGCCTCAAAGACACACATCCAACAGTATTGCAGATTTGGTTAAAGAATGACGGAACAAAACATAAGGAGGCAAAATGCGAGCATATTTAGCAAAAGCAAGAAGCTCAAAATGCAAGCATATTCAGCAACTGCAATTACCTGAGGGTGTGGTCAAGAATAATCCTTCTTAAAGAAATAGACAAACCTCCCTGATCCCCTAATGATGACTATCCTGTAGCTCTAATGCATACAGATGATTGGGTACTATCATGCCAACAAGGTGAGGGTCTCTACAGATAACTTCATTAGCCACAAAATAACCCATTCTGGATGCCAAAATTTTAACAAACACTGCCTCTAACCCAATTTGAAATCCTAAGTTCGTTCTTCAAGCATCAATTATAGTATCTTTTGGCTCTTCCAAGTACAGAGAGACACTAACACAAAAGATGACATATTATAATGATTCCCATACAAGAGAATACTTTTCAGCAATGAGGACCATACTAGAAACATACACAACAACATAGATGGATCTCAAAAACACTGTGTGGTGTGAAACAAACAAGGACACAAAACACTACCTACTGTGTAATTTATATGAATTCCTAGAGTGGTAAAAACTAATCTATCCTGTCAAAAAAATTAGTGGCTGCACGTGTGGAAAGAATTGAATAGAAAGAGGCACCAAACAAGTTTAGTGGGGTGATGGAAATGTTTCAAGTCTTAATTCAGGTGGCAAGTTACCTGGGTGAATAAATTCCTCAAAACACATAGTAAAACACAAAACCAGGTTTAATTTCACCACTCTGTTTGGATATTTTAGTTAAAAAATAGAGTTGTCTTATTTTGCATTTTTCTTTGGAGACACCTTCATTATTGAAACTAAAATCGCTTTCTCTTTACCTAAAAAAAATCTTGTCACAAGATGACTAGAGGCATAATACATACATCATTTTTAAAGTTGATGGAAACTATAAATAACTTTCACACATAATGCCTTAAAACAAAAATACTAATCCTACAAATTAAAAATAATTAGATATAGTGAAAGTTCTACAATGCATAAAGTATAAATTGTTACATGATATTTAATTTAAGTAGGAATTTTACTTTGTACCATGGTCCAATCTCAAGGAAAACAACATCCCTAAAATGTCCTTGGTTTTCATAAAACTGAATGCCATCCAATCAGCAACCCCTGAGAGTTACCTAAGTGCCAGGAATCCAGATGGCTCAAATAAGGTAATAGAAAACACAAACGCACAGGTAATATTTTGTTTTTAAGTGTCTGACTACAGTACCTCATAACTGTTTTAAATAGCACAAATTAGCAATAAGAATACCAGTTCTCCTTCAGAGTTGGAACTTGGCCAAAGATACCAAAATTCTTAAGCAGTTTCTTAAATCCAATGAGCAGACTTTACACCTTATGCGGTAAAATGGTCATGGCTTTTTCTAATTATATCCAAAGTATAAGACGTCCTATTTGTGAGGAGGATTAATAGCAGAAATCGAGGGAACAAATATCTCATTGGGGGCTGTATGATATGTTTATGTAATGTAAATATGGTTCACTTTTAAGGAAGCTCAATACAATTGTTGGAAAACAAGTGCAGAATAAGAAAGAACATCAATAGCGTTCCTCGGCCATTAAAGGGCTACAGGCTCAATGTGTTAACCACAGGCTCAATGCGTTCAACGAATACGTATATACACACACAGAGATACATAGATACACACACACACACACACACACACACAACAAATTGGGTTATGGGACTTCACACATCTAGTGACACTGAAACCTAATCTCATTTTAAGGCGTTGTTCTATTTAATCCACTTCAGAATATAAGTGTCAAGCGCTGCGTACAAGACACTGGATGGTGATGTACAGTCCGTCTATTCTTTATGGGACCTGAAACAGTTTAGAGGTTGATCGAAAAAGCAACCACGTCGTAATTTCTTGGTTCGAAAGAAGCACCCCTGGGTGAGGGGTAAAGAAATAAGGAACACAAAGACTCGTACTGAGTTGGCCTTCCAGAAACTCTGGCCCAAGACCGTTCAGCCTATTTCTTCAGACATAACCCTGGAAACGTCCTCAATTCTGAGAGGACTAGCAAAGGACAAAACCCTGTGGCAGGCCCGGGGGTCATTTCGCACCCGGGTGCATGGGTGGGTGATCACGGGCGTGTGGGCTGAGAGGCAAAGCCCAAGTGCGGGGGTGCCAGCAGCGTCACTATCGTAATGAGAGAGTGCCAACGTCATCAGGGGGCTGAAGAAGGGGCAGTGGGCCACACAGACCTAAGGGACGAACACGTGGCCCGAAGAAGCGAGCCGGCTCCCAGGGAAGCCCGGAGCCCTGAGCTGGCTTCCCGAGGTCTCACGGCGTGAGTGGGGGAGGGGTACTCACTTCGATAATCTTCTCCTTCTTTTTCTGCTCCGCTTTTTTGCTGCCCCCGGCCTGAGCCTGTTTCTTGGGGGGCATTGCGGAGACAGATGACACCGGCCAGACTAAAGCGCAGCTGTATACTGTCAGGGGTTCCGGCCCTGCGGCAGGAGGAGGAGGACCGGGGCCTCACTAGCCGCACCGCACGGAAAGCGAGTCGCTCATTCGCCCCGCAAACTCAGCCTTTGCGACAGGTCGATGTCGCAGAGCATTGTGGGTAGCGAGGAGCGGCTCCCGGAAGCGGAGCTGCGCGTGCGCGTCCTGTGTCCGACTCTGAGAGGGCAGGGACGGGACGTGGGAAAATGACTGCTCGTCACACGTGATGTCTCGCAGCCAGCGAGCCCTTTCTAGATGGCAACAAGGCTGAGGATGAATCTGGGCGAGCTGGTTGAATCCACGCGTCTGTGCTCCCTCAGTCCTCTTTTGCTTAGGATAGAGCGACTATAGTCCATTGTCGACTCAGCTGGAGACTTTTCCTGCCGGCCCAGTCAATGGTCCCCTATACCATCCCCATCGTAAGTGACTACTAAGCGGCCGCAGCGACTAGGGGTTGCTCCGTGACCACATTACTCAGTTACCTTCTTGTTCTCTGGCGAGGCAGGGTTGAATGGCCCGTGAGTGCAGTGTGCCTCAGATTCCTTCGAAAGATATGGAAAAAACGGAGAAAGTTAACTTTCATTTGAAGGGTCCCTTTCATTTGAAGAGCGTCTGAGATGCTGTCCCAGAGAAGGAGGCACTTGAACTCCTTAGAGTACTGTATTAAGTTATTTTGAGACTTTAGGAAGAGTGCCTGGGTGATTCCTAAAAATTCCTTTATAATGTGAAAGTAACCAGCCTTAGTCTGAACTTGTGTTTGGTAACTCCAGAAATTGCTTGGCACATTACACACGCAATTTCATTTAGTTATCACAACAATTAGGTGGGAGTTGTTACTGTTTTAGTTTTCTAGATGAAGCAGAGAAAGGAAGAAAGATGCCCAAGGTTATATTAAGGAATGAGCCGGAAATTCTAAGCTTGGCAGTCTGGCTTCAGCCTATATATATGTAATATTACCTAACACTGTAAACTTAGATCCTGTTTGAAAAGGTACTTGAATGATGAATGGCCCCATTGATATTTGTACAAACCAAAATACTATCTTTTAAAAATGTGTAATGCTTGGCTGTTTTTTTTTTTTTGTTTGTTTGTTTTTTTTTTTTTTTAAATTGATTATTGTGTAAACTATTTCTGTTAAAAAGCGTTGTGTAACCAGGGGTCATATTTATAGATAAAAGTTTTATTCTTTTTCATTAAATTGCCGAGGGAGAAAATGATAAACCCCCCTACTTAGTCAAATTGATTATTTACTTAGTCATTTTTTACATAAGATAATATCAAGAAACCCCAAGTGTGTGTGTGTGTGTGTGTGTGAGTGTGTGTGTAGAAAAAATGTGATAGCTACTAAAAGGAATTGTGTGGAGAATGGTAGTTGTGGGTAGACACTTTTTGTCATTTGGTCTCCTGTTGCAGGTTAATGGACTCCCCCCTCTTTTACGTATTTTCATCTTTGTTTATTTTTTGTAATTGTAGTTTTTGTCAGAGGGTGGAGGGATGCAGCCAGCTTCCTCTTTACTCAGTGTTATAATCTCTTGGATTATTTGGGGATCCTCTCCTTTGAGACTTTGCATGTGGAATGTAGTTGTCTTAACTTCCTACTTTTAGTGCTCCAAAGATACTCTTTGGGCCTTTGATTTTGAGTAATTTTACAGATAATTATTATTATGAGGCAAATGAATTATAAGTAACAAATATGGGGAAGCTGCAAAGAATCTAGAATTTCATAATATTATGATAATGGCTCCAGTTTCATGGTTCCTAACTTCCTCTGCCTCCTACTGACTTGCTTTTGTTTTTTCCTCTGACTTGTAGCCCAGATACAAAACAAAGATTCTTTCTTGCCTCAGGTGGAAAATACACATTTCTGAATATAGTCCGTGCTCTCATAGCACTCTCCCTCATCCATTAATTTCTTCATACATTTTAGAAATTATGAAGTCCAACTCATTGAATTCACTGGAATGAGTTGGACTTCATTATTTCTAAAATATATGAAGGGTAAATGGTTTGAAATAGGGTAAATGGTTTTTCATGGTCTCAAATAGCAAATGGAAGCAGGGCTGGGAATTTTATGTTTTCTACTGCTATTTTTTTGACCTTAAAATTCAAATGTAACTTTCACAAAACAATGCTTAGAAGGCATAGTCCAAAGGTTACAATTCAAATACCCAAGAAAGCAGGGCTATACAATTGAGCATCAGGATGAGTGAAACACATTAGGAAGTTGTGGGAACAGTGTTAAACCTGAGATAAATGCCCAGCAAAAAAGAACTAAAAGAAAAACTGCCAAACCTGACTGCTTTGATTTGGTAGACAGGCTGTGAATTTACTGGCTTGGATAAAGCCATTTGGATAATTTTACATCTATTGGAATGTATCAGATGTAATAGATTAAGAAGTAGATTTTGTACTAAATAGAAATTATTGTTTGCTATCCAGCATTCTAATGTCCTTCTGTGTAGGAAGGATATTTATATTAAAATATAGTAATTATGTAAAAATATAGGAATTACATGTTATATTAAAATTTCTACTTTAAATGCAAAACAGGAATTTTCTCCCTTTTCCTTATTCACAGAGCCAGATCCTAGATACATGGTTTAAGATTGAGCAGATAAATTCTCCCTGCTAGGTAAATTCTCCCTGCTATCTCCCCACTATGCCTAGGGCTTTTAATATCAAGAAAACAAGACAAAGACTTGAGAAGAGTATAGGAGTTTTTCAGGGCATTAGAATACATGTATGGTATTACCAGTCCAGTGGTAGCAGGCCAGTGTGGCAAGATCTATACTATTCCTTATTTCTTTGCTATTATTTCTTGCTACTTTTGTTTTCCAAGCTTGATTTTCCAGGCTTCCTATAGATTCTGTGAGCAATATTTCCATAAGCACATTTGCTAAAGTTGATATTTGTTGTTTGCAACCAAGAGCTCCATTATAGGCTGAATTGTATCCCCCAGAATTCATATGTGGAAGTCCTAATGCCTACTACCTCATAATGTGATTGTAGTTGGAGATGGGCTTTTCAAAGGGCATTAAAGTAAATGAGACCCTTTGGGTGGGCCTTAATCCAATCTGACCAGTGTCCTTTATAATAAGAGGGCATACAAAGAGACTCTAGGCACATATGTTCACAGAGGAAAGATACACCACATGAAGACATAGGTAGAAGGTAGACACCTGCAAGCCAAGAGAGAAGCCTCAGAAGAAACCAAATCTGCTGGCACCTTGATCTTAGACTTCTAGCCCCCAGAACTATGAGAAAATAAATTTCTGTTTTTTAAGTCACCCGGTCTGTGATACTTTGTTATTGCAGCCTGAGTAAAGTAAGACAGACTCTGATTGATAACAGACGAAACTATGCTATGGGTAGTGGTCAGAGGCAAGACCACTAATTTATCTAAGTAAATTTTTGTCATAAAGACAGGACTAATGTGGCCATATAAATTGCTGATTTGTTTTATGGGTTGAGGTAGTACATTTTAGGTAGTATTTGGATTTGTATAGTGAATGCTTCAAAATTCTGACATGTAGTCAGTCTCCTTTAAGACTTTTTTTTTCCCTCCGAAGTAATATATTACAAAAGATTTGCCAGTGTTTCAGCAGAGCATATAAAATGTCTTTTACCTTTGTCAGTTTCAATTTCAGTACTGTAAACTTTCACTCCAGCCTACACTGACACAAAATTTTCTTAAGTGGGTGACTTAAGTTGGTGACTTCTCTGTTTCTACTTGAAATATTTCTCAGTGCCATTATGATAAGTTATTATGGCATTTGTCAAGAAACCAAGATGTATGATTTCCAAATATTTTTTTGCCTCATTGATGCTAAAATCCTTCCCATGATTTAAATCAACCATGTCATTTCCCTAGTAATAGTTTTCTAATGGCTTCCCATGTCTTTCTAAATGCAATATAAGGGATTCCACATCTTCCTCAGCCTATAACATCTGCTTTTTGTCTTCTGTTATTTTAGTTCTTACTCCTCATTTTAGGCCAGCTTTTCCTATTTCCCACCTCCATATTCCCTCACTACTCTTATGTGCCTTTGAACTTTTCATAGTCATATGTATATACTTTCCCCACTCTCCCGCCCAAAAATCTACCTACCTTCCATCTAGGTATCATAAGGATCTTCTTTGAAATTATTTCCTTCCTACTTTACTGTCCTATTTCAGGGCCACATTTTTGCTTGGACTATTGCAAGTGCCTCTTGTTTCTCTTGATCTAATTTCTTCACAGTGCATTACTCCAAAAGTAAATTCTCTATTGTATGAATTTGCTAGTGTCACCCTATTTTATAATTTCTTTGAGGACCTCCCATATATGTATATACAGGTTTAAATTTGCATTGATGATTCTTCTATAGCAGGCGTCCCCAAACTACGGCCCACCACATGAGGCCCCCTGAGGCCATTTATCCGGCCCCCCCGCCGCACTTCAGGAAGGGGCACCTCTTTCATTGGTGGTCAATGAGAGGAGCACAGTATGTGGCAGCCCTCCAACAGTCTGAGGGACAGTGAACTGGCCCCCTGTGTAAAAAGTTTGGGGACACCTGTTCTATAGCTATAATAGTTAATTTTCCTGTAACAAGTATAAACATTTTTCATACATTTGTATAGTCTTAGAAGTCAAAATCAAAACCCCATAAGGAATTTTTTTCTTCTCTGTAAGTTTGTAGACTGAGACATGATATTTTATTCTTCTATGTTTTTCATAACACATTGCATATTTTCTTAAATATAGATGCTTAATAAATGTATATTTCAGTGGTTCTCAAGTTATGCTCATATGAAAGAGTTCAGTAGGTTGGACTAATATGATCTACTAAATTGAATGATGATGTGTTTCTAATTCACAGAAAAATAAAGTATTTTTGTCCATTTTAAGCTTTCTTCCCACATACTCATTTCTTTTTTTTTATTATTTTACTTTAAGTTCTTGGGTTCAGTGCAGAACGTTCAGGTTTGTTTCATAGGTTTACATGTGCCATGGTGGTTTGTTGCACCCATCAACCCATCATCTACATCGGGTATTTCTCCTAATTCATTCTTTAAAAATTAGTAGATTCCTAGCCTTTTTCAGCTAGCAGATTAAAAAAAAAAAAAAGAAACAGTAATGGATCAAACATTTTATGTGACTGAAAAACCTATATATTCTAAACAATGTGGGGACATT